ATGTCTAGCATTCACACCAACACATACACACGTACACACGTACACGCATACACCTCTTGCTTCCTGTTAGGCACACAACGCAAAAACCAGATCCGCATTATGCGCGTCCTATGTCACAGTCCTTGTACGGACGTACTATGTTTCAATATTAATCTCAAAATCTGTTCGTCTTTCTCTAACACCTCCCTCTCTGTCTATGTATACTATCTATAAATTTTCTCTCTCTCTCTCTCTCTCTCTCTCTCTCTCTCTCTCTCCTCTCTCTCTCTCTAATTTCTCGCTCTCTCCTCCCGTCTTCTCTCTCTCATTCTCTCTCTCTCTCTCTCTCTCTCTCTCCCTTCTCTCCTCTCTCTCATTCTCTCTCTCTCCTCTCTCATTCTCTCTCTCTCTCCTCTCTCATTCTCTCTCTCTCTCTCTCTCTCTCTCTCCTCTCACTCTTCTCTCTCTCTCCTTCTCTCTCATTCTCTCTCTCTCTCTCTCCTCTCTCCTCTCTCTCTTCTCTCTCTCTCATTCTCTCTCATTTTCTCTTCTCTCCTCTTCTCTATTTTCTCATTCTCTCTCTCTCTTCTCTACTTCATTCTCTCTCTCTCCTCATTCTCCTCTCTCTCTCATTCTTCTCTCTCTCTCTTCTCCTCTCTCTCTCTCTCTCTCTCTCCCCCTCTCTCTCTCTCATTCTCTCTCTCTCTCTCTTCTCCTCTCTCTCTCCTCTTCTCTCTTCTCCTCTCTCTCTCTCTCTCTCTCTCCTCTCTCTTTCTCTCATCTCTCTGTTTCTCTGTCTTTTATCTAGCATTACATGTGCCAATCACACCGTCCACACATGACGCGCTGGAGGCGAGGCAGAACACACCAGGTGCAGGATGAGGACAGGAACAAGACAATTGTACGAAATAGGATATTTTTCAAGCAACACAAATTATCATGCAGGCTCTCTATTGTTCCCCATTGTCTTTTTTTATGATCAGCTCATGTGAAACTCGATCACTGGTATTTCTGTATACGAGAGAAACATTGGTCATGGAAAGTGGAAAAGCATCTCTTTTCTCTCTCTCTCTTCTTTACATATAATAAATAAAATGCATCTATACAGGACATATACATGGCCAAAACACACACCACCACCCACACACACACACACACAAACAAATACAACACACACACACACACACAATATATATATAATATGTATATATATATATATATATATTATAATAATATATATTATAGACAACATATATTATATATTTAGATATATATATATATTATATATATACATATATATAATAATATATATATATAGATAATAAATATATATATATATATAGATACATATATGCGTATATATATATGTGTATATACACACATAATATATATATATATATATATTATATATATCTATATATATATATAGATATACATATATGCGTATATATATATGTAGTATAATTATATTAGATATATATATATATATATATATATATATATATATAATATATGTTGTGTGTGGTTGTGTGTGGTGTTGTGTGTGTGGTGTGTGTGTGGTATTTATTTTAAAAAATATATATAATATATATATATATTATATATATATATATATAATAATAGTAAATATATATATATATATATAGCATATGTGGTGTGTGTGTTGTGTGTGTGTGTGTGTGTGTGTGTTGTGTGTGTGTGTGGTATATAATATATATATATATAATATATATATATATTATATGTGTGTGTGTGTGGTGTGGTGTGTGTGTTTGTGTTTATATATATATATATATAATATATATACATATATTCTATATTATATATATATATATATATATATATATATATATGAAAATATAGATTATATTATATAGATAATAATATATTATTATATATATATATATATATATATTATATATATGTGTGTGTGTGTTATATAATAATATATATATATATATATAATATATATATTATATATATATTTATATATATATATAATATATATATATATATAATATAGATCTTATATATTATAATATAATATATATATTATATATCTGTGTGTGTGTGTGTGTGTGTGTGTGTGTGTGTGTCTGTATGTGTGTGTATGTGTGTGTGTGTGTGTGTGTGTGTGTGTGCGCGTGTGTGTTTCATAAAGTCTTCCTACGCCACTAGAATTGTCCCATTCGCTGAACTACTTTACCAAAATAGAATAAGTATATTGACTATCATCCATGATCCCTTAGCGATTCAGTATGATTGCGTACTATAGGAAGATTTCCTTTGCCGATACCGAGGCAGAAAAATGCGGTCGCTGAGACTCCGCGAAATTTCAGGGATAGATTATAGCCATGCCATTCACTTGTATGAAAGAGGTTTTTGTAAAAAGTAGTTCATCCTCATTTAACCTTCATTTACTGAATTTAACGCCTACTGGAGACCATAAGCTTGGAGGAAAATAGTACTGTCTTTATTAACCATCATTAGTTATAGTCACATTTTATGCACCAATGGACTATTTGCTCACCTGAAAATAACCAGGTTGCAAAAGGAAGCCGTCTACTCACAACAAATTCTCTCACATAAACCACACGAAAAATCGTCATCTACTTTATTTTTTTTTTTACATGGTCCAGGCTGGGTTAGGGGGCAGATATGTAGGAAGCGATCTTTTCCTTATTTTTAGTATATGATTATCATTGTTCTTGGTTCTGTTCCTTTCCTTGTTCTTTGTTCTTCTCCTGCTTTTACTTTTTCTTTTGTTCATCTTCTTGTTATTTCTTCTACTTCTCCTTCTTTCGTCTTTTTATTTTCTCCTCTTTTTCTCTACTTTTCTTCCGTTTTTTATCATCATCATTTTCTTTTGTTCTTTTTTCCTCTTCTTCTTTCCTTTCCTTCCTTATTCTTCTGCTCTTCATGTTTCTTCTTTTTCCTCTTCTTCTCCTTTCTTGTGCGACAATTGTTCTTTCATGTTCTGATTGTTACTATTCTCGTATTGTTTTTCTTTCTCTCCTTCCTCTGCTTACTTCCTTCCTCCCACCTCATTCATCATGTTATCTGTCTTCCTCCTCCCTATCATCTGTTCATCCTGCCTCTTCCTCTCTCTAATCATCATGTTCTCTGCTTCTCTTCATTAGAGGGAACCTTGAGCGAAAGCCTGGGATCAGGACGCGCTTCCTATCTCAAGTGTTAGAAACGCAGATTACGTATAATCAAGGGGATGAATGACGCTAATTCCCGGAATGTAGGAACCGTGCCACCTGGACCGCGATAAGGGTAAGGAGAGTTCGGATAAAAAAAACGAGTTCCTTCTCTCTCTCTCTCTCCTCTCCCTCGTTCCTGGATGAGAACAATGACATGGATCCAGCTCGTCTTAGAAGGATAAGTAGCAGCTATGTCTCTTTTTATAAGGGTGGCTTGTCGGCAGATCCAATATTCCTTTTCTTCGTCTATTTTTTAATATAGTGACTAGAAGCGCAGGAAACGTGAGGAATGTTCACAACAGAAGCATGACTCACACGCGTTCGCGCAAGCACATGTGTGTGTGTGTGTGTGTGTGTGTGTGTGGTGTGTTTGTGTATTTATACACACACACACACACACACACGCACTTACACACGCACCACAACACACACACACACCACACACACACACACACACACACACATATATATATATACATGAAATACTTATTTGCTCTTACATTTGCCTCGGAAAAAGAGCGAGAGCGAGCCTGAGCCCCAAAGAGGAATGATCCACTGCCAAGCACGCCGGAGACACACCCACGGTATGGGCCTCACTCACGCATAACACGGCTAACAAATTCTAATCAAACTCAAACTTCCGTTACAATAAACTTCTCGCATTACCCAATTAGCAGGCAGAAACAGTCTAGGTGAATTAGTTATCAGTAAACGTTCTTGCTAAGATGGGGAGGGATATGAGCCCGTGGTAATATTTCAGAGGCGAGAGTCGGAAAGTCATAATGTGGAGGGACCATGAGTGTAAAACGGTATCCGCGTTTATTCGAGGCGGGCAATGCATTAGGTATCGTGGCGCATAAAGTCATTGTGGGCAGGGGAGTATTACAACCTAAGTCATCTTCAGTAAGCTGTGTCTTCTGACTAACTGAAATTGAAGCCGAATTAGGTTACGTTAGGATAAGTGCCAAGGGTATTCAGGATCAGAGGCCCAAAAGCTGCTCTTGGAGGAATATATACCGGTTTTCAATGGATTTATGGATACCAATGTCTTATTCATTGTCATTTTGCATTATTACTTGTAATTAAATAATGCATCGTTATCGTAATCATCGTTATCATCAGTATCTGAATCTTCAATATGATGGTAACCAATGATGATCGTGGTCACGTTATATGATTTTTTTATCCGTGATCTGCCTATCATCATTAACATCATCACGTGAATATCATTATAACATTATCATCTCACTATTGTCATTATAATCAAGGGACATATAACCAGGTAGCTACATTCCATTTAGCTGTTGATCCCAAAATGAAATTGAATTTTTTCCACGAGCATTCTGATCTGTTAATAATAAGGAAACTCTTCGTTGCAAGAAGATAAAAGTTTTGCTTTCTTTCTTTTTTACTTCTGGTAATTAAAACTATATCAATTAAATTATGCAAAAAATATGTATCTAGCTCCTTTGTTTGAACTGGTCAATCTGTGCCATACTTTATGGCAAGTGTTTTGTTTTTCAGTGTGATAGCAATGGTAGAAAATATATGAAAACGAAACCAAGAAAAAAAACAAGAAATAAAAAAAAAAAAGATAATGAATAAAGGCAAAGCG